AAAATACTTAACCCAGTCCTCTTATGATTGATCAACATCAGGCAGGCTCCAAATAATGTATTTCTAAAACTGCAAAGTACTAACAGGAGCACTAACAGGATATAACAAGTATTCCAGTTATCTTCTAAGAAAAAAAACTACACATTTGTACAAAAAGATCTATCAATAATGTTTACATGCATCTTTGCATATCCTATGTAACCTGAAGTACTCAAACTACTGTACTCCATATATTGCTAGATTCTAGCTCTCATCAATTGTAAAGCAACAGCATCTGGAGGACTTCAGATGTTATCCAGAAAACTGAAGGAGTTTTAATCTATTTTCTTCTACCCTATAATATTTTAATATCCTAGTTCATCTCATGTGCACCAGGAATAACTCTTTCTGCATAGCTAGCTAATCAAAGTTCTCTAGTGCATGGGTCGCCAACCTTTTGGACCTCAGGGACCACCAAACTCATAATTTTAAATCCCAGGGACCACTAACCGGTTCTGTGGGCATGGCCTAATTTGTGGGTGTGGCTTGATGGTCATGTGACTGGCTGGGCATGGCTTGTATGTAAATATTATAAATATTTATATAAATATTGAATTTTTTATAAAAAAAGAGCAACTTTTACCCAAAATCAGGCAAATTTGCTTGCCGTGAGTCTGCACTGAATAATAGAAACTTCAATCCTAAGGGAGGTTCGGCTGTGCTTAAAAGCAGAGCCGAAGATCTAAAGACTAGATAGAAAGCAAGAAATCCAACCATTTCCTGCTTCCTAGCTAATCTAAATCTCCCGGCACAACAGAACAGATGATGGTCGGAAAAAGGAAAAATAGCAACTTAGCAGGCAAGTTTGCCAGGTAAGGAGTGAGTGGGCGGGGAGGGTTCCCGCGGGCCATGTGGGCTGAGCAGCCTTGTGTTTCTGCGCAGCCTGGATTAATTGCTTTGGGGGAGGGGAGCTCTGGGGGTGAGATTTCTCTGAGGCCCACCAAAATTTTCTCACGGCCCACTGGTTGGCGACCACTGCTCTAGTGGATGATCCATGATTCACAATGAAAAGGCAGAAGCCAGGACAACAGAACAAGCAAGCAGGAAGGAAAGACCAGCTGGTGCTTAGAATGAAAGGAAAAAACAAAAAGTGATGTGAGAAACATTAATGCAAGGAAAAGAAACCTGGGATTGTTGAGGAACCCACATAAGGCTTTAGCTGTGGTACTGCAGAACTGCGGTAATAAACCCCAGAAACAGCAACAGGTATCCTGGTAAAGAGCCAGTTTGGTCTAGAGGTGAAGGCACCAGGCTAGACACCAGAAGACTGTGGGTTCTAGTCTCTCTGTAGCATGAAAACCAGCTGGGTGACCTTGGACCAGTCACTCTCTGCCAGCCCAACTCACCTCACAGGATTGTTGTTTTGGGGAAAAAGGAGGAAGGAGTGCCACTTATATTTACTGCCTTGAGTCATTTATAAAAACAATAAAGATGGGATACAAATAAATAAACATAAAATAAATAGGATTGTTTGTTCCTGGCAACTGGTTGGGTTTTTTTCTTTGTTCCTTGCCACCTCAATTTGACAGAACAATTTAAGGAGAGAACTATTGGGGACATATCCAGAGCCCACAGGTTTTGAATCCTTCATTGAGAATGACTCCACACAAAATCAGAATAAAGAGTTTGAAGAATTTTTTCCTTATTTTCACAACACAATGAATAAAGCTGGTCATTTCGGAATCAGACAGAATACATACCAAGTGTCCTTTTGGCTCTTTATTATTTTTCTTTTAAATACACCATTTATTTATTTATCATATTCCCTGCCCCTTTTTGGTATGTATCTCTTTAAAAAACCACAGTATTTGTAGACAAACAATATGAAAATATGCTTATAGCTTTACCTTTTTTCATCTTCTTCCAACAATCTGCTTTTGGCATTCTCCATAATCTTCTTCTTTGTACTTAGTTCTATTTTCATTCCATGGATTAATTGTAGCAAATTTTTCTTTGCTTGTACTTCTGTTTTCTGCTCCTGATCTGGTGAAACACTTGTATTGGTGCAGTTGACTTGCTCATCTTCGTTAGTGCAGAAGGCAGGGGTAGTGCTAAAGAACTTGTGTGCTTTGCTAGGAAAGATGTAGAAAGCACAGACTAATTATACAAACTGATTTTTAAGATTTTTACAACTTAAAATATTGTAAGAGATTATTATGAGATCATGGAACTATGTGCAACAAGGCTCAGATATATAATACATCTAAATATTTAATGTTTTATGGCCAGTTAATTGCAGGGTGGTTTTTTTTAATGTCAAAGTACCCTAATGTTAAAACATACAAAATGTGCCTTATTTCACAAAGCTGCATGTATAGTAAACTCCACCAAATTTACCCTTAATGTTTACATTTAAAAAATGCAATTCCAGGAAAAATATATGCAATATAAACATTGTTAGCATCATTTAATAATCATGCCTTTCTTTTGGCATTTTTCTATTATTTATTCAATTTGTATGGCTACTCATCTCAAACAAGTGATGCTGGATGGCAATCATAAAATTAGTTAAAATCCAAACTATGCTTGTAATACCACCAAAAAAATGAAATACATACAGCAGCCAAGAAAATGTGATCATCCATAGATGTTAAAAGAATCACAAAATGGGCTCCTTCACATACTTGGGATTTCAGGCTAGGGCTTCAATGCCTTAGTAAATATTTTTCTGGAGAAGAATCATATCTTACACTGATTTTGAACAAAAAATAAAACAGATGCTATTTTGCATATAAAATTGATTAGAAACAATCTTGTACGGGTTAGAGTTTACGGAATGGGGGCTATCAGATGAGAAAATCCCAGAGATGACACTGGAGGTGGAATTAGGGATGTGTTTGACAGAGACAAGAAGGCATTCCCAAATTCCCACAATATGAATTTTGAAGAAAGAGAATTGGGCTGGATATATTGAAGCACACTGCAGTGTTTTATTTAAGGGGGTTGCCATAAAGAAGAGTCAAGTTGTTCTCCAAAGGATCTGAGGGAAGGAGAAGAAACAGTAGGTGGAAACTAATCAAGGAGAGTAGCAACTTAGAACTAAGGAGACATTTCCTGACAGTTAGAATAATCAATCAGTGGAATGACTTGCTTTCAGAAGTTGTGAATGCTCCAACTCTGGAAGTTTTTAAGAAGAGATTGTCTGAAATGGTATAGGTTTTCCTGCCTGAGCAGGGGGTTGGACTAGAAGATCTCCAAGGTCCCTTCCAACTCTGTTCTGTTATTGTAATCATGTGTAAAACTACTGTTGCTGAATCAGAGCCCGTGTTCACCCAGTACATTAACACTAATCTCATTATAGAATTAGTCGAATTTGTAGCAACCACAACCAAACCTCATAATCTTTCCTGAACTCAACCCAAAACTTCCTGAGCGAGCTGAAATTAATATAAAAAAGGCGTTTTATCTCTCTCCCAACCTACCACTTGCGCATGACTCGTCAAAGTACATTTGGAAAAAGAATGATGCAAAGAGGCAACTTCCCCCTTGCAAACCGCACCAAACTTGATTGCAGGAAATACGACTTAAGCAACATAGTGGTCAATGTCTGGAATACTCTACCTGACTCTGTGATTTCTTCCCCAAACCCCAAAAACTTTAACCTTAGACTGTCTACTATTGACCTCACCCCTTTCCTAAGAGATCTGTAGGGGGCGTGCATAAGTGCACCAACATGCCTACTGTCCCTGTCCTATTGTTTTTTATTTTTCTTATATGTATCCATTTCATGTATTCATAACTATGTTTATACTTATAACTATTATCTTGTAAGCAATTGACAAATTAAAAAAAAAGAATATTCAATAGCCTTTGAAAGGGGGCATCGAACACCGACACTCTTACGGGGGGAAAGCCCGCTTCTTCTCTCCCAAGTACCTGTGCAAGGCCACCCCCACGTCCTCTCTTGGAGCCCCGAAGCGAACCACGGCACAGAGCCTCCCGGGGACCCTGGCGCTTCTCCGCCACATTATCCCAGACGCCGCAAGGAGTCACGCTCAATCTGTCCGTACCACGAAGTGCTTCCGCCACAAAGTTCCGACAAGGTCCCCCCCCCCATCAGTCCGTCCGGAACGCAAGCACCCGAACATTGGTTCCGCAGCCGGAAAAACCTTCGCGCTCTTTTTTGGAAAGGGTCCTTTCTCGTTCTAAAAGGGAGGGAAAAGGGACGCCGCCGTTTAAATATGTACTGCATGCATGTTCGGAGGGTGGGAAATAGGTGATTTTTAAATCTTATTGGTGAGGTTCGCCTAACACTCTAAGCCCCGAAACGAACGAGATATGTGTGTGTGTGTGTGTGTGTATCTATCTATCTATCTATCTATCTATCTATCTATCTATCTATCTAT